GTCAATGAGTTTGCTGGCTCTCGTTTGGATGCACTGAGCAGGCGCGACCCTGTATGTTAGACCCAAACCCAGGCCAGACCTCAATGACTAATCTCCAAATATCCACAAATACAATTTAAAATGAATATAAAATGAATAAAATTCTCTGTCTCCGGGATATTACTTCCCCCCCCCCCCCCAGGAAGCTATAATAGGAACAAGAACCCAGTGTCCAAATTCGTCTTCAATCAAAAGTCCTTTATCAGAGTACGTAGAAATTCATACTATAGGTCCTTCCATTCTTCCAAGGTTCTCACCGTTAATGTCCAATTCATGTGTGACAAAAGAAGTGTGCTCCTCCTTTCTCTATGTTAACTCCTCTTGCAAAAAAAAAAATAGAAACTACCTATAGTACATTATCTTTTTAAATGAAATAAATCAAATATATATTACTCACATAAAAGTGCTATAAAAGTGCCAAATCTCCACCATGCGCCATCAATCTAAATCCGTAATTCCTCCTCTTACCCTCCAATCACAAATCCTCATTTTATTAAAGGGGGATGAATCTTGTGCCATCAATCTAAATCCGTAATTCCTCCTCTTGCCCTCCAATCACAAATCCTCGCTTTATTAAAGGGGGATGAATCTTGTGCCGTCAATCTAAATCCGTAATTCCTCCTCTTACCCTCCAATCACAAATCCTCGCTTTATTAAAGGGGGATGAATCTTGTGCCGTCAATCTAAATCCGTAATTCCTCCTCTTACCCTCCAATCACAAATCCTCGCTTTATTAAAGGGGGATGAATCTTGTGCCGTCAATCTAAATCCGTAATTCCTCCTCTTGCCCCCCTCCAATCACAAATCCTCGCTTTATTAAAGGGGGATGCATCTTGTAAATTACTTCTTTTTCATTCTTCTTTTTTTTTTTTATAATAAAATACGCTCCAAAAAAAAAAAAAAAATTTCATATAGTGTAGTATTTTCAATAGAGCAAACAACGAGAGTGCCAATGTGCTCACACTTTATCCATCTTTGTGGCCACCAATCAGTGCGCAATTCTCCTTAGGTGACCCACCACCTCATGGCTCATGCACCTTACCAGATCTTCCAACGTATGAAGGCTGCAATATCATAGTTAACTGCTACGCTTCCAAAGATCTCCTCTACTGCCGATATTCCACTCCCATGTTGTCACATGCAGGGGTGGACTGACCATTTGGAAACTCTGTCACTGCCCAAGGGCCCGGGGTCAGTAGGGGGCCCCATGAGATGCCCCTGGTACCTTTTTCATAGGCTTTTTTGAGTTTGGGCAAGGACACAGGGGCCCCATGATCCCCTATTGCCCGGGGGCCCCCTGAGTTGTCAGTCCGCCTCTGGTCACATGCAATCAAACCAAATAGGCAGACCAGAGTGTAGCAGATAAAATAGATGGATTTATTCAATTAAAAAAAGTGCTTACAATGTAGTTGTAGAAAACACCAGCATACAACACCTTTCTCAGACCTCAACCAAGATGGCTGCTGCTGGACTTCTGGTTAGTGTCTGACTCACTACCTGACACGTTTCGTCATTACGGCTTTGGATGTACCTAGGATGTCAAAGGCTAGATACTGAGCCATGGGGAGCAGAAAATAATTCTCAAAAGACCTGCGTAACAAGGTAATAGAACTTTATAAAGATGGAAAAGGATATAAAAAATATATCTAAACCCTTGAATATGCCAGTCCGTGCTGTTCAATCACTTATTAAGAAGTGGAAAGTTCGGGGATCTGTTGATACCAAACCAAGGTCAGGTAGACCAAGAAAGATTGCAGCCACAACTGCCAGAAAAATTGTTCGGGATACAAAGAAAAACCCCACTGGTAACCTCAGGAGAAATACAGGCTGCTCTGGAAAAAGACTGGTTGTTTCAAGGAACAAAATACGATGATACTTGTACAAAAGTGAGCTGCATGGTTGAGTTGCCAGAAAGAAGTCTTTACTGCACAATGCCACAAAAAAGCCAGGTTACAATATGCCTGACAACACCTTGAAACACCTCAATGAGTGATCAGACCAAAGTAGAGCTTTATGGTCACAACCATAAACACTATGTTTGGAGAGGGGTCAACAAGGAATAGAGTGACAAGAATACCATCCCCACTGTGAAGCATGGTGGGGGCTCACCGATGTTTTGGGGGTGTGTAAGCTCTAAAGGCACGGGGAATCTTGTGAAAATTGATGGCAAGATGAATGCAGCATGTTATCAGAAAATACTGGCAGACAATTTGCATTTTTCTGCACGAAAGCTGCGCATGGGACGCACTTGGACTTTCCAGCACAATAATGACCCCAAGCACAAGGCCAAGTTATCCCTCCAATGGTTATAGCAGAAAAAGGTGAAGGTTCTGGAGTGGCCATCACAGTCTCCTGGCCGTAATATCATTGAGCCACTCTGCGGAAATATCAAATGTGCAGTTCATGCAAGATGACCAAAGACTTGCCATTACCTGGAGGCATTTTTCCAAGACGAATGGGTATCTGTGCCACCTGCAAGAATTCAGGGGCATCATAGACAACTATTACAAATGACGGCATACTGTCACTGACTAAAGGGGGCGATACACAGGATTAAGAACTAAGTGGATGCAGACTTTTCAAAGGGGCATTTCAGTGATTTACTTGTTGCCGTGTTTAGTGTTACGATTGGGCCATCCTGTTATGACCTCCAGTTACAGAATATGAATCCCATAAGAAGTGGGTTTTGCCAGCCGGAGGAAGGAGGTCCCGATTCCTCTGTATAGACCTTTATATTGCTAGAGGGGTCACCGGCAGGTGGAAGGAAGTCCTGATTCCTCTATATAGATCTTTATACTACTAGAGGGGTCACCGCAGGAGGAAGGAGGTCCTGATTCCTCTATATAGATCTTTATATCACTAGAGGAATTACCGGCAGGAGGAAGGAGTCCTGAAGGAGGTCCTAGAGGGATGATTCCTCTATATAGACCTTTATATTGCTAGAGGGGTCACCGGGAGGAGGAAGGAGGTCCTGATTCCTTTATATAGATCTTTATATTGCTAGAGGGGTCACCAGCAGGAGGAAGGAGGTCCTGATTCCTCTATATAGATCTTTATATCACTAGAGGGGTCACCGGCAGGAGGAAGGAGGTCCTGATTCCTTTATATAGATCTTTATATTCGCTAGAGGGGTCACCGGCAGGAGGAAGGAGGTCCTGATTCCTCTATATAGATCTTTATATTGCTAGAGGGGTTACCGGCAGGAGGAAGGAGGTCCTGATTCCTCTATATAGAACTTTATATTGCTAAGGGGTCACCAGCAGGAGGAAGGAGGTCCCGATTCCTCTATATAGATCTTTATATCACTAGACGGTTCACCAGCAGGAGGAAGGAGGACTTATTCCTCAATATAGATCTTTATACTACTAGAGGGGTCACCAGGAGGAGGTCCCGATTCCTCTATATAGATTTTTATATCACTAGAGGGACCACCGGCAGGAGGAAGGAGGTCCTGATTCCTTTATATTGCTAGAGGGGTCACCAGCAGGAGGTCCTGATTCCTCTATATAGATCTTTATAGACTAGAGGGGTCACCAGCAGGAGGAAGGAGGTCCTGATTCCCCTATATAGATCTTTACATCGCTGGAGGGGTCACCGCAGGAGGAAGGAGTTTTGATTCCTCTATATAGATTTTTATATCACTAGAGGGACCACCGGCAGGAGGAAGGAGGTCCTGATTCCTTTATATAGACCTTTATATTGCTAGAGGGGTCACCGACAGGAGGAAGGAGGTCCCAATTCCTCTATATAGATCTTTATATCACTAGAAGGGTCACCAGCAGGAGGAAGGAGGTCCAGATTCCCCTATATAGATCTTTACATCGCTGGAGGGGTCACCGCAGGAGGAAGGAGTTTCTGATTCCCCTATATAGATCTTTAGTTTGACTTCATTTAGAATATTGTGCCCAATTCTGGAGGCCTCACTTACAAAAAGATACTGATAAGATAGGAGTCCAAAGACTGTCAACAAAATTGGTAAAGGGTCTGAGGGATAAAACATTTCTGGAGTGACAGCAGGAATTTAATAAGTACGACTTTGAGGGAAAGCGTGGGTTTTGTGAGTGAAACCTCCTGAAGGGTGTGAGTAAGGTTCAGGAGGGCAGTATTTTTGATTTGAAGCCAAGAACATGGGGACATGACCTCATACTAGCAGGAGGAAAGTTAAAAACTAATCTTAAAAACATTTATTTTACCAAAAAAGTAGCCGATGCTTAGAAAAGACTTCCAGCAGAGGTAGTGAGTCAGTCAACAGTAAGTGGATTCAAACATGCTTGGAGCAAACACAGATGTATGCTGAGACAAAATAAATATAAAAAAATGGCAGACTCCATAAACCACTTGGTCTGTCGCTCTTATGTCTCTATGAACTCAGTAATATTATTTTTTTTATTATTATACAGGACTTGTATAGCACCAACAGATTACTCAGCACTTTACAATATAAAGGGAGACAATACAGTTCAATACAAGAGGGTTAGGAGGGCCCTGCTCCTTGGAGCTTACAATCTAAGAGGGAGGGGCTGGTCGTACAAAAGGTAATAACTGTGGGGGATGGACTGGTAGGAGAAATAGAAGATTCTGTTATTAGCTGAAGGCAGGATAGACTTCCCTGAAGAGAGAGGTTTTCAGAGATGGGATAGAGAGTTCCAGAGGATGGGGGAGACTCTGAAGAAGCCCTGGAGACGAGCATGGAAGGAGGAGACAAGGGAGCTAGAGAGCAGGAGGTCATGGAAGGAGCGGAGAAGACGGTTTGGGTGATATTTGGAGACAAGATTGGTGATGTAATTTGGGGCAGAGTTATATATGGCTTTATATGTTATTGTTAATGTTTTGAATTTTATCCGTTGGGCAATGGGAAGCCAGTGGAGGGATTGGTAGAGAGGGATGGAGGACGCTGAGTGGAGGCCAGTGGAGGGATTGGCAGAGAGTGGGTGGAGGACACCGAGTGGAGGCCAGTGGAGGGATTGGCAGAGAGGGGTGGAGGACACCGAGTGGAGGCCAGTGGAGGGATTGGCAGAGAGGGGTGGAGGACACCGAGTGGAGGCCAGTGGAGGGATTGGCAGAGAGGGGTGGAGGACACCGAGTGGAGGCCAGTGGAGGGATTGGCAGAGAGGGGTGGAGGAGACCGAGTGGAGGCCAGTGGAGGGATTGGCAGAGAGGGGTGGAGGACACTGAGTGGAGGCCAGTGGAGGGATTGGCAGAGAGGGGTGGAGGACACTGAGTGGAAGCCAGTGGAGGGATTGGCAGAGAGGGATGGTAGATATGGAATGGTTGGTAAGGTGGATGAATCTGGCAGCAGAATTCATGATAGACTGAAGAGGGGATAGCCTGCGATGAGGTTGGCCAATTAGGAGGGAGTTACAATAGTCAAGGTGAGAGATAACAAGGGAGGGAATAAGTTGCTTAGTAGTTTCAAAGGTTAAGAACGGCCGTATCTTGGAGATGTTGCGGAGGTTGGAGATGTTGCGGAGGTGAAGTCTACAAGATTTGGACAGCGATTAGATTTGGGGCTGAAAGGACAGATGGGAGTCCAGGATTACACCTAGTACCCTGGCATGAGGGGAGGAACTGATGGTCGTATTATTGATCTTGATGAAGAAGTCAGGGGAGTGGACACGAGCTGGAGGGAATAGTAAGAGCTCAGTTTTAGAAAGATTACGTTTGAGGAAGTGGAGTGACATCCATGCCGATATGTCACTTAGTAGGTTAGTAATACGAGAGGAGACTGAAGGGGTGAGGTGAGGAGTAGAAAGATAGATTTATGTGTCAACAGCATAGAGATGGTACTTAAAGCCATGGGAGTTTATCAACTGACCAAGGGAGGAGGTGTAGATGGAGAAGAGAAGGGGTCCAAGGACAGAGCCTTCAGGGACCCCTACAGAAAGAGGAAGTGGAGAGGAGGAGACAGAGTTATAGGTAACACTGAAGGAGTGCTGCGATAGGTAGGAGGAGAACCAGGAGAGAGCAGAGTCTCGGAGGCCAAGAGAGTGGAGTTTTTTGAGGAGGAGGGGATGGTCAATAGTATCAAAAGCAGCAGAGAATCTAGTAGTAAGAGTACGGAGTAGTGACCATTGGTTGGGATGAGTATGGAGTAGTGACCATTGGTTGGGATGAGTATGGAGTAGTGACCATTGGTTGGGATGAGTATGGAGTAGTGACCATTGGTTGGGATGAGTATGGAGTAGTGACCATTGGTTGGGATGAGTATGGAGTAGTGACCATTGGTTGGGATGAGTACGGAGTAGTGGCCATTGGTTGGGATGAGTACGGAGAAGTGACCATTGGTTGGGATGAGTACAGAGTAGTGGTTATTGGTTGGCATGAGTGGCCATTGGTTTTAGCTGTTAGTAGATCATTAGTGAGGTTTAGTAGGGCAGTTTCAGTGGAGTGTAGTGAGTGAAAGCCAGACTTTAAAGAGTCAAGAAGGTTGTTGTCAGTGAGGTAGGAGCTCAGGCAATTGTAGACTAAGAGTTTAGAGATAAATGGCAGCAGGGAGATGGGTCTTAAGTTGTTCGGGTTGGTGGGGTCCAGCGACGGCTTTTTAAGTATGGGAGTGATCTGTGCATGCTTTAGAGGGGAGGGGAAGGCACAATTAGACAGGGAGAGATTGAAGATGTGAGTGAGGTAGCATAGGATGGAAGAAGAGGATGACCGTAGTAGTTGTGAGGGGACAGGATGCAGGGGGCAGGTAGTGAGACGGCCTTCTGAGAAAACTTTAGAGACCTTTTCAGTAGTAGCAAGGTCAAAAGAGGACAGTGTTGAGGGAGGTTTAGTGTAAGGTATGCTAAGTGGGATGGATGTCTGTGCAGTGGCGATGCCCCTACGAATTGCATCAATCTTGTTTTTGAAATGATTGGCAATTTTGTAAGCAGTGAGTGAGGTACTGGCTGGAGGTGGAGGTGGATAAAGTAGAGAGTTAAAAGTAATGAAGAGATGACAAGGACTGGATGACAAGGTATTAATAAGTGTGACAGCATGGAGGGAGGAATTGTATGTTAAGAAAGCAGATTTATATCGGGTGAATGCTTGCTGGGATTTGGTTTTACACCACAGTTGCTCCAGTGCAGGGCTATGTCTCTTAAGATTTCTGGTGTGGTCAGTCTGCCACGGTTGTAATGGTCGGGGCCTGATGCTTCGTGTAGTTAGAGGAGCAAGCGAGTCAAAAGGGATGAAAGCGAGCTGTTGTAGACAGAAATGGCCAGGTCAGGGCAGGACAGGGGAGAGATTCTGTCATAGAGGTGGTCAGTTGTAGAGTAGAAAGGAGAAGGGTTAAAGTTATGAACGTTTTCTCATACCTCCAGAAAAAAGATCTGCCCTCCCAACATTTTTATATATACCTTCAGCTACGCCATGTTTTCTCCACCATGTCCTCCACTTTGACTCTTGGGAAACCCTCTCCCTTTGAGCGTCTATGTATACAGGGCCCATATCAAAGGGGTATAATTTCCAATACATACAAACTCTTAATGGACGCTACTCCCCTCTCTAATGACACTCACCATTACATGCGCAAGTGGTCCCAGTTTTTGCAATGTGATATCGATCTAACACAGTGGAAGAAAATTTGGGAAAACGCATCTAAATCTTCTGCCTGTGTGGTTTATAAAGAAAATACATACAAAATTGTGATGTTGTGGTACAAAACCCCTGGGGTTATTCATGCTTTTAACACGAGTGCTTCTTCTGCCTGCTGGCGTTGTGGGAAAGACTTTGGCTCCCTCTTCCACATTTTTTGGACTTGTGGATCCATTGTCCCTTTTTGGGAAGAGGTTTTGTCTTTTTTACAATTGTTATTGCATACCTCTCTCCCCTTTGAGCCCCTATACCTTTTATTGGGCTTGCCGTTCCCAGGTCTTCCCAAGGTGTCCAGGAAACTCTCCACACATATTTTGACTGCGGCCAGAAGAAGCATTCCTATGTGCTGGTTATCCGCTATACCGCCTTCGATGTCAACTTTGCTCAAAATTATTGCTAATGTACGACAGATGGAATACCTGACTGCTATACATTCCAGTTCGACAGCTGTGTTCCAGGCAGTGTGGCACCCATGGGGGTCGTCTTATACGCCGGTATACGGCATGCTGACACTTTTTAGGGGGGCAGCGCGGTTCCACCGCCGCCCCCCCCTTCCAACGGAAGGGACACTAAGTACAGGGGTGGGCAGGGGCTGCTGTTTCTTACCTGGCTCCGGTCCCACCACGATCCAGTCCAGGAAGCGCGGCTGCTCCTTCATTCAGTTCGGCCACTGGATGTTCGCGCGGCTGCTCGGCTCCGCCTGCTCACCGGTGATTGGCCGCCAGAACTGTAGCTCAGGAAAGGCACACAGGCGGCCAATCAACGGCGAGGAGGCGGAGCCAAGCGGCCCCCGCGAGAATCGAGTGAAGGAGCGGCCGGTAAGTGTGCCGTGCAGAGGTGCTGCTGCAACCACATATGCTGGCTGCAGCAGCACCATACTGGAACAGAGGTCAGCAAGTGTCATTGGTGTCAGTGGGAGGAATAGTGCCCCATCATTGGTGTTACTGATACTGGCACTATTCCTCCCACTAATACCAATGATGGGACACTATTCCTCCCACTAATACCAATGATGGGGCACTATTCCTCCCACTAATACCAATGATGGGACACTATTCCTCCCACTGACACCAATGATGGGACACTATTCCTCCCACTAATACCAATGATGGGGCACTATTCCTCCCACTAATACCAATGATGGGACACTATTCCTCCCACTGACACCAATGATGGGGCATTATTCCTCCCACTGACACCAACGATGGGGCACATTTCCTCCCCCCCACTGACACCAACGATGAGGCACTATTCCTCCCCCCCCACTGACAACAACGATGGGGCACTATTCCACCCCCCTGACACCAACGATGGGATACTATTCCTCCCACTGACACCAATGTTGGGACACTATTCCTCCCACTGACACCAATGTTGGGACACTATTCCTCCCACTGACACCAATGATGGGGCACGATTCCTCCCACTGACACCAAAGATGGGGCACTATTCCCCCCACTGATACTAATGATGGGGCACTATTCCTGCCACTGATACCAATGATGGGGCACTATTCCTCCCACTGACACCAATGATGGGGCGCTATTCCTCCCACTGACACCAAGGATGGGGCACGATTCGTCGCTCTGACACCAATAATGGGGCACTATTCCTCCCACTGACACCAATGATGGGGCACTATTCCTCCCACTGATACCAATGATGGGGCACTATTCCTCCCACTGACACCAATGATGGGGCACTATTCCTCCCACTGACACCAATGATGGGGGACGATTCTTCCCACTGGTGTGCATTGGAAGAGGGGTAGTCTTATACGGCGAGTATAGCCCAAACACTACATTTTAACAGGAAAAGTAGGGGTCGTCTTATATGACCAGTCGTCTTATACGCCGGAAAATACGATATATATATATATATATATATATATATATATATATATATATATATATATATATATATATATATATATGTGAAAAAAATCAATAAAAATTGTTGATACAAAAAAAAAAAAAAAAAAGTTATGAAGGTTTCTGCGGGTAGTTGTTTGCTGCTTGGAGGGATGAGTGTTTGAAGTTGAGGGCACGGTGAAGGTGATGAGATTGTGATCAGAGAGAGGAAAGGGGGTGTTTGTGAGGTTGTAGGGAGTGCAGAGACGGGATATATCATTTGTTCAGATGTAAGAAGACCACATGAAAGTAGACCAAAGACAGGATTTGTGGAAGATCCAGAGGGTTCAAGACAAGCAAGACCCCCACCAATGATAAACTAAAAGAAACTGAGGACAATTTTAAGAGTTCAAATACAAAAAGATGAAAGATGAAACCAGTCAAGATCAAAGCTTGGAAATTCTAAGGGAGGCCAAAGCCCTACAAAGCTTTCAGTACCATGGAGTGATAAATATTTAACAATACTGATGTAGGGCAACCCCCCTAAAGGAGACGCTGGTTAAGATGGGCCCTCTCTTCTTTGCCTCGACCTCCTCATGGATCTCAGCCCCTCTGACACACCAGGTTAAGCGGGAAAAAATCAAGCAAACACAGTGTGATACGCTCAATAACAATGCCTCCTTGAAAACAGGCACCAAAGCAGTCAGCAAGGGTAAACGTAATGTATTATTCAGTAAAAGTGATAACCAAGCAGGTAAGAAAATTGGCAATGATGAGAACACAGTCCAGCACAGGGGTGGACTGACCATTTGGATACTCGGGCATTGCCCGAGGGCCCAGGGTCAGTAGGGGGCCCCATGAGATGCCCCTGGTACCTTTTTCATAGGCTTTTTTGAGTTTGGGCAAGGACACAGGGGTCCCATGATCCCCTATTGCCTGGGGGGGTCAGTAGGGGGCCCCATGAGATGCTCCTGGTACCTTTTTCATAGGCTTTTTTGAGTTTGGGCAAGGACACAGGGGCCCCATGATCCCATATTGAGTTGTCAGTTCGCCCCTGGTCCAGCATGAAAAAAATGGCTAAAAATGAGGACAAGACATAAGAGACACGAAACATCCAGACCAGCATAAACAGTGCCACCTAAAAAGGGACAGTGAGCAGTAATGAGACTTAGTCCAATAATACAGGAGTTATACTGCCAATGTTGACAGATTAT